CTCTGCTTTAATTGTCTCCATCATAAAAGTTGAATGGAAAAATAAATAAATTAAAATTTTCTAATAAATGAAGAAAGATGTGTGGAACTTTTGTTGTTCAGACCTAAAATGAACACAGATTTTAACCAGACAGTGAATCTTAAAATAAATCAAATATAAGACATTACAGTGATACACTTGAGTTATGTTATCTATTGTGATGTATCAAATCAGTCCGATCAGCTGCAGCATCTAATTAATATAACGGCTACCCAATAAGGGGGCGTGTCGCGAAGGATGCACTGATGTATCCTCGCTCATAACTCCTCAGAGATCACTCCTCGATCGTCAGAGCACAAATATGAGCTTTGGGACGGTCTGCAAGATGGCAGAGCGGAAGAATTTCCGGTTCAAGAGAGGATGGAGGAAATTAGAAAAAATAGACTTGAGAAGCACCCTTAGTCACAGTTCTAACTCCTACAGCTGTTAGGGGATGGGAGAGCCGCACGAAGCATTATCATTTAAGAGGAACGGAAGTCGTCCAGCTCCTGTATGTTTAATGGGTATAACCTCTATGAAAAACAAAACGAAACTTATACGTCAAAGAAGCAGCTCTCAGTAGCTTTATTGCTGAAGAAAAAATGGCAGCCAGGTCTCATTGCTACTTTTACACAGGGTGTGACCGTGGTTGTGGATGGAAATAGATCACTCATCTCATAATGACTTATCATTGACTACAAGCACTGGATATTACTACAGATATTTGTGAGCAGGTGTTTATCAAGGTTTGATTAATCATTCAGAACCAGTGGATACCTGCCCACACAGAACGTTTGTCATTTCTTATAAATTATAAGTAATTTAGATAAATCTGAAAAACAGACAAACAGAAAACTCTGAAGTTCCAATATAAGAGCAAAGATAAAAGCATTAGTGTTGGAATTTTTTTTCTTTCAAGAATAAACTCTGAGCTGAATGTATCTTGATGTTCTTCCAGGATATAACGATTCCTCTGGGGGTAACTGTGGTTATCACAATGTTTTAAAGCACCTGAACCTGACCAAAGAAAATAATCTGTACTTCATGGCCCGGCCTGTTAAACACTACAACACGACTACAAAAGTACGCCTCCAAATGTTGCCATATAGCATCCTAGATGTGGTAAGTTTTAAATTAAGATTTACTAGTTCTATCTTTTTTCTCTTTTTTAATGGTAATGATTATTTCCTCTGCCAAGGAAGGACTTTTTATCGTCTTTCATTTTTCTTTCATGGAAGTCAAGGCCTTTCGCCCTGCAAAAAGTGATTAGTTTTTTCTGTGGATAGCAGTGTTGGCGAAAAATGAAAGAACAATTAATTGTACAGATTCTTTTTCAAGTTTGATTCGTACCATTGTAGCATGTCTACTTATGAGTTTTAATACAAAATTATGAATTTTAATATTCAGAGAATATTAATTCATAAATCTCTCATTTCGCGGGGCACCACCCGTGATTCTGTTCACCCAGGGTCTCGGGATTCCCTAGGTATGGTTAATAATTACACAATCATTCACTAGTGATCAGTTAGTTCATAATCGCTCAGTTATCTTAAATCAATCAGTCAGTCTCATATCGAAGTAGTAAATTCTCATGAGAGTTAAGCAATACACACACAATTCCTGTGATTACGGTGAAATTTATTAAACTAAGGGTGAATATAAATGCGGTTAAATATACATCAAAGAAATAAACAATGGCTAAACAATGAGAATGTGGGGTTCTATTGTGGGGAGAATTTGATTCATAGAGCGGAAGAGAACTAATGAAAACAATTAGATGACATTAACTAGGTTAAATTTGTCTAGGGGTTTTAAGGATTAAAGGGGCATTATGTCCTCCTGAAGTCCATTATCATCTCCATAGCGTCTTAAGCTCTAGGTTGTTCTGACCGCACCAGAGAGCCAGCTGATCAACCTCCCGTCTTAATCCGACTCGTCACCGTCCTGGATGAGGCCGCTGACCGTTGTGTCGCGAACTTCAGGAGTTTGACAGATGGGTCTCTTGAGGAGCAGTCGTTGGTTTAGAGGGAGAAGAGCAGTGGGGAGAGCACACACCCCTGGGGGTGCCAGTGCTGATAGTCCGGGTGCTGGATGTGATGTTCCCCAGTCTCACCTGCTGACTCCTGTCAGCCAGGAAGTTTGTGATCCACTGACAGGTGGAGGCTGGCACAGTGAGCTGGGTGAGTTTGGTGCTGAGGATGTCCGGGATGATGGTGTTGAACGCCGAGCTGAAGTCCACAAACAGGATCCTAGCGTATGTCCCTGGAGAGTCGAGGTGTTGCAGGATATGATGCAGACCCAAGCTGACAGCATCATCCACTGACCTGTTAGCCCTGTAGGCAAACTGCAGGGGGTTCAGCAGGGGGCCTGTAATGTCCTTCAGGTGGGCCAACACCAGTCTTTCAAAGGACTTCATGACTACAGATGTCAGGGCGACAGGCCTGTAGTCATTTAATCCAGAGATGGAGGGTTTTTTTGGGGACCGGGATGACTGTGGAGCGTTTGAAGCAGAAGGGAACTTCACACAGCTCCAGTGATTTGTTGAAGATCTGAGTGAAGATGGGGGCCAGCTGGTCCGCACAGATTTTCAGGCACGATGGTGAGACACCATCAGATCCAGGAGCTTTCCTGATCTTCTGCCTTTGGAAGAGGTGGCTCACGTCCTCTTTACAGATCTTGAGTGCAGGTGAGAGGTCAGAGGGGGAAGGTGACTGTTTGAAGATGGCGTTGGAGAGGAGGAGAGGTGTGACTCTGGGCTTTTCAAACCTACAGTAGAAACCATTCAGCTCGTCTGCCAGTCGTTGAGTGCCAGCAGTGTTGGGGGATGGTCTCTTGTAGTTTGTGAGTGTCCGTAGGCTTCTCCACAACGACGCAGGGTCGTTGGCTGCAAAGCTGTTATTTAGATTTTCAGCATAGCACCTCTTTGCAGCTTTGACCTCTTTAGTCATTGTGTTCCTGGCCTGGTTGTACAGGACTCTGTCCCCACTTCTGAAGGCCTCCTCCTTGGTCTGACAAAGCTGCCTGAGTTTCGCTGTGAACCAGGTTTTTTAGTTGTTGTATGTGCGGAAGGTTTTAGTCGGCACACATGTCCTTACAAAAACTGATGTAAGATGTCACAGTGTCAGTTAGTTCGTCCAGGTCAGTGGCTGCAGCCTCAAAAACACTCCAGTCAGTACAGTCAAAGCAGGCCTGTAACTCCAGCTTTGACTCGTTGGTCCATCTTTTCACAGTCTTTACAACAGGTTTATCAGATTTCAGTTTTTGCCTGTGTGTCAGGATAAGATGAACCAGACAGTGATCAGAGAGTCCCAAGGCTGCACGGGGAACAGAGCGATAAGCGTCCTTTAATGTTGTGTAGCAGTGGTCCAGTGTGTCAGTGTCCCTGGTGGGACAGCACTATACTCACGTGAATCTTTTTTCTAGTCATTTCGTCTATTTGAACTAGGCTGGTAATTGCGGCGCTGCAATGTGGGCGATGTAAAAAACTGCGCAGTTCTCAAAGACTGATGGCTACCTGGTTTGCTTCAGTTGGTAAACTATAATAAACCGATTAACTTCTTGATTATTATCTTTCTATAAAGATGCATAAAGCCCCGCAGGGCCACAATTGAATTCAAACCATGCAAAAACCAATATTATATAAAATTCAATAGCCACTACGTCCATATATATAGGGTTGGACGATTAATTGAATTCAGTCAGGACAACTTTCATCAAAGACTGATATTGCGGAATTATAGTTATATTTGTCGGTATGGCTCTGTTCTGGGATCTCCTTTCCCATCCATGCGCCTACGTGGAAAGCCATGGAAAGCCCTTCCACATTTGAATTATACATGCTAGTTTGAGTTGCTGTAGCTAAATATTATGAAAATCCACCATCAAACTTTTGATGTTCCGCTTATGTCACATTTAACAAGTCATTGGCTATTTCCTTTAACTCATTGACAGCCTTGTTAAGTGAGTGGAGTGTTTGTTCAGCCTCCTTGTGAATTATTTGTACTCACCGCTGCAAGTCTGCTCTGCCTTCTGTTAAATTAAATCTTTGAACAAAGCTGCTTTTTGTGATCTTGTATTTTATATTAAAACTGCCATAGTGCTATGTTTTATATCATCTTATGATAGGCTAATTGTGCTGCAGGAAAGATTTTCACATATACTGTATTTCTTCTCTCACAGAGGGAGATTGACCAGACTTTTGTTCCTTATGTTTGGATCTATATGGTGAGTTACCACTGATATGGACATCACATTATGTTCATTCTCACCTGTTCATCTTTAGCAGAAACTTAAAATAATTTCCTCTATATTGCATCTATTCCCTCTTTCTCTCCTTCCTTCTCTATCCCCTGCCTCCCTCGTTTTCCTGTGTAGCGTTGGCAAAATGAACACATTAGGTGGAATCCAGAACATTTTTGTGGACTTGTTCGTGTATCAGTTCCTATTCAAGTGTTGTGGATCCCAGATATCACTATTGAAGAGATGTAAGTTTTAACGTATTTGCATGTCACAAATCCACAGACTCACAACATTATTATGTTAATGTTTAGAAATGAGACAAAAACTGAATCATTCGGATGCCAAAACATTTATGCAACAGGGTGTAAATGTGTTATTTAAAATATTTATTACACATACATATATAACTTTAGGTGATTTCAGTACAATGCAACTTCTTTAAGTGATGACACTTAAATTAGCCCTTTATATCTACATAGGGAGCATGCATAGACAGTATATTACTTGATGAAGCCACCCAACAGATTTGCTCCTATGAAATACTTCTATGGGGCTACTTCTTGTTGGCACCAGCGTATCGTGCAGCATAAGCGTAATTAAGCACACCGTAATTTTGGTATCTGCATAGCTGCACTATACTGTGCCAACAAAAAGTCTCTTGGCTCAGCGTGTTTGGCTGATTCGGATCGTGACTGTTTAATCAGCCTATCTACAAGGCTGCCGAACACCAACACAGTGTCACTGATGTCCAAAAATTATTTGGCCACTTTGGAGCTCTCCATGCAGGCTTTGGTCGGCTTCACTTTTCGATCTCTCAATTACCCCCTTGGGAGCATGTAATCTTCTATGGAGTCTGTGAAGTTGCACCGCCATGTTTCTATAGTAGCCCAGATTGGACAAACCAAACACTGAGAGGGGTTTTCAAGTTTTCCGTACCTACTGTATGTTCTCCTACACGCTTGGAAGGGGAGGGTGAGGCAAGCAGTATTCAGTTGGTTGCAATCTGCAACCTCACTGCTAGATGTCACTAAATCCTTCACACTTGTCCTTTAAACTTTAAAAATTTAAGGTGGAAATGGGTCAGTGTATACAGTATACACAGTGAGGCTGAAAGGGCAACAGGTGGGTGAGGCAGTCTGATGGGAAATGATGGGAGCAGGGTTTACTTTAGGTCAGGAGGGAGTGGCAGGGTATGAAATAACAGGAGAGTTAGTATTGCAGGGAATCTTTTTAGCTTTTCCTTCAGTTCAACTTTTCAGCAGTGCAGCTCAGCTTCCAGCTTTTCAAACAAACATTTCAGCTGTCAGCAATCATGCATTTTCAGTAGGTAGTGAATTTTCTAGTGGTTTCTATTTAGTATTTCCTGGGTAATCATTTAGAATATATTTTAATTCAAGGAAGTCCTTCCTAAATATTACCCCTTTATTCCTTGTAGTTCCATTAACTACTTGGTAATTCAGTATGTACAAAACATATACAAAAATGTTGGAACAGGCAGATATGTGATATTGTCACACCGTGTGTATAATGTTATCTATATTTATAGAAATAAATGTAAATTAGAGAAAAATAAAGAGTTTAAGTGAAATAATTAATTGAATCATACTATGTAGATTTGTTTTAAGATGTACTTTAATTTAAAACATAAAGTTTTTGTCATTGTGTGTGTGTTTTCTCATACAGGACAGAGATGGATAAGGCTCCTCCGAGTCCTCATCTCAGAGTTTATCATAATGGAATGGTTGTACGTCTGAATGATATGGTGCTGGCCAGCACCTGCAAGATGCAAGTTTACAAATTCCCCTTTGATATTCAGAGCTGCAACATATCTTTCAAGTCTGCCATATATCACGGTGAGCCTGTAAAGCCAAGTTCACATTACACGATTACACCAGCCAAGAGTCCTTGTCAGCTCGTGTAGTTTTTGACCCCCTGTCACCGATCAGTCACGTGTGAATGCCACAGCGATTTCAAGACAACGGCAAGTTGTGTAGTGTGAACGGCACAGCCATCGGCTGACGCTGAAAGTCGTGTAGTCTGCACAAGGCATAACTTGTTATGTTTGTGTATGTCTTGTGTCTGTGTGTTATAATGTCTAACAGTTTGTCACATGAGCACACACCAGCAGATGCCACCATACAGTACATTCCTTTGGTGAACTGAAAAAACTCTTTTTTTTCTCTCCCACCTCAGTCATGGAAATACAGCTCGATCATATTTTGAACTCTTCAGAGATCGCAGAGTGGTCAGGCGAGTTGCTGCGGACCCAGTACGAGTGGCTGTTCATCAGCATGAATGTCACCAACAAAAATGTCAGCACTTTAGGCTTTGAACAAAGCATGATTGTTTATACTGTAAGTATTTCTCAATACAAACACAAAGAGGTGTAAACTATTTTCCATCTCTCCTGAGCCGAGGGACCCTAAAGCTCCACCTAGAGGGCAGTTAATGTAGGGAGATCAGGAACAATTCTCTCTGTGGGCAAGTCTGCCATCTTTTGTTCACAAGCTGGGATTTTCCTCACTGCAGAGTTAATGTTTGTGATCCAAATTTCTTTTCCTTAAAGTGGAAAGTACATGATTTCTTCCCCCATAACCCAACTGCTCATGAAAATGGCAGAGAATAAGGTTTGAGAGGTGGTGGTCTTTAGATAGGATGACGATGACTCGGGGGACGACTCTCAGAAGGACATCTTCTAGAACTTGTTTCAGTTTGTAGATGTTGCACCTTTTTAAATAGATATTTGAGATGATAATGCAGCAATCTCATCCTGAAATCTCTCTCACTGACAAAAGAAAATGATTGAGTTCTCAACTTCTAAGAGGCCATCCAGTGAAAGGTTCTTCCCTTTAAGTGAAGATCGAAAAGCTTGCATTTCAATTGGTCCAACATTGGTGCTCCATTAGCAATAGCACAGGGGTATTCAATTAAAATTCAAAGGGAGGTCCAGTTAGAGAAAATTTCACAAAGCAAAGGTCCAGAACATCAACTTGCGTTATCATTCAGTAGCCAACCATAACATATAGCCTAGTTGTATCAACATATGTTTTTAGTCAACAACTGACTGTCAAATTAGATACTATTTCAACAATATTTACTGGCAGTTTTCACATAAAACTGAAGGGATAATTAATAATAACTACTCTAATAATACATTCTAAATTCAAGTAATCTAAAGGCTGCATTTAAAAAACATTTTTGTAAATGTGCATCTTATAATAAATTAATTTTATTTGTTGCTCAATTTCAGAAAAAATTTTATAATAACTGTAGCTTTTAGTGATTGAAGTTCAGTCTCAACCAATTTTATAATTAACACTAAACACATCTTAACAAATGAACAGCTGTAATGCCTCCTCTTCTCTTTCATTCCCTCTTAATAGCCACCACCACTTCCCTACTTTCTCTTGTTCAGTGAGAAATGTGAGCTCTAGCTAGGATTGGAGATATATGAGATATTCCAGTTTTGAACTGCCCGTGGGAAGAATGTACATTTGAGAATCTGTACATTCTTGGTTAAAAGCCATGTGAAGTCTCTTTCGTCTCCTCTCTTCCTCTGTGTATCTCACAAGTGGACTTGACTCGCAATGCTCAGAGTGAGAAGGGTCCAGCTGCGGTCTGACAAAGTCAACTGTCAACGTAGTAATCAGTGTACATTACGTGTTAATATTTACTATACTATAATTATATATTATTAATATAGTATTAATTAATATTATAATTCCTGCAAATATTTTTTTATAATAGCCTAATGATAATAATAAAGCAATGTTTCAATTCATACTACTGTTGTTGTATATTTTAAGTTTAACGAACCAAGAATATTCTGTAACGTTACATCACGAGCCAGATGTATCCTGATTTAGGTTAAAACTTTACAACATTACTGAGAATTTATTGAATAACAGCGGTATGAACATTAACACTATCGTTCAGCTGTTCCTGGACACGTCTGCTGTGTTAGCTGCAGTGGTCTGTGTGACTGGGCCTGGCGGAGCTAACCGAAGCTAGCTAGCTAACTATTCCTGACAGCCCCCAGAAGTATATTACTCTTACCCTAACCATCACAGGGTGTGTGCCTAAAGTTATTGATTGTATGCATGTTGACCGGTTAACCCTATCAGTGCCGCAATGGCTTCAATGATTATGCCTTACATTCTCACCACCATCTATGCGAGTTATTTGCAGACCCGTATATTATTACTACTTATTCAATGTAGTGATGAGCGTCCACACTGCCTGAATTCTACCAGAAGTAGAACAAGAACAACTAGTGACAAGACTTGCTCTGTAGCGCTGTCCGTTTTGGGCTATTGTAGAAACATGACGGTGCAACATGGCGACGTCCATGGAAGTGAGAACCCGCGTTTATATAGATAGAAATTACTCATTCTAGGGTAATAAAAATATCACGGTTTATTAAGTAAGGTCTTTATACACCACTGAAAACATAGTTATGGATATTATATTACATTTATGTCGATAGATCCTCAGAAATATTACACACCGGACCTTTAACATGATCACATGAAGTATGAGAAGATGTTTTACTGCTTTTGTGACTTACTTGTTGGCTGGAGGTATTTGATGCAACATTTGAGACACTGTCATGAGGCTCAACCACAACGTATATCAATAGGGTGACTTTGAATATCACACAACCAGATACTTGCATCAGCAATAAAATCTTTCACATTAATCAATTTTGCTTGGTTCCATAATTTATGTCTTGTTGCTTCATCTTTAGGCAATAACCACAGCAGAGTAAAAATAAAGCTAAATAAACACAAAAACTGTTCAGTTGCAGTCAGTTGCTGACTATTTTAATACTGCCAGTCAATTAGCAGCAGGTTGTAAAACAAGAAGCATAGCTTCTTAGCATTTACACCTGCCAGGGAGCTCCTACTGTCCTCATACATGTTCCCCATTGTGCTAAAAAAAAACTCACAGGAGACAGAGGGGAGGATGGAGGAATTTGATTCCAATCTATTATGTCAATCGATTGAAATCCAATAAGAAATGCTTTTATCTTGCTTATCAAAACGTGTTATATTTAGCAATATGTCACTGTTAATGTATAACTTTAGGTACAATGTGCAAGATTTGGCAAGAATTGTAATTAAACATTCACATTCACAAAATGAACTAACATGATCAAGAGAATGTGAAGAAGTAACTGTTGTGATGTCATGTAGACGTCTATGTATTGTGTTGCAAATATCTACTATAGTTAAACTGCCTGCCAGCAAGATGGGGGCGATATATCTGTGATATCCCATTTAAGACAATAAAATGTAGTTTTAGTAGATGATTTTGAACGGCAGGGAAACATACTGCAAGGTGAAAAGTATAGGAGTAGAAGATTAACCACCTGACCCTTAAAATATTTTTATAGATCACCATGAAGAGGCGCGCTCTCCTCTACATTGTCAACTTCATGCTGCCCGTTCTGTTCTTCTTGGGTCTGGACTTGTCCTCCTTCCTGATCTCAGACAGAGGGGGCGAGAAGCTCAGCTTCAAGGTCACTGTGCTGCTTGCTGTCACTGTGTTGCAACTTATTCTGAATGACATTCTGCCTTCCACGTCAGACAAGATTCCACTTATAGGTAAAGGAGCTCAGAGTACAGAGCACATGCTGACTCAGTGTGTAGTTATCTGTCCATTAATAATGCTGCCTCCTCCCTTTAGCAACATACTGTATTGGGAGTTTTGGTTTGATGATGCTCAGCCTCCTGGAGACGATTTTGGTGATGCATCTGATGGACAAAGACTCTGTATCCCAGGACAACAAGGCAGACAGAGACCAAAGCCTGAGTGAGGACTGTGGGGACAAACGAAGCAATGTCAATTTACACAGCTGTTTGAGAGGTGAGATTAAGCATAAAACACTGGTTCACAGCGCAGTCTCCCCTTGTTCAGTTTGCTGCTGTTACTATTATACAGTATTTACCTGTTATAATGGCGTACACCTTTCACTCACGGACAACTTGTGTTGACAGACACATTTACAATTTGAAATTCACACCAGTTGATCATGTCATTTTTTTGATCATGTCATTTTGAATATGCTACAACTATCTTTGTGTGAAATATATCATTTCAGGTGAGAAGAAACTGACTCACTGTGTGTCTGTCTGTGATGTGTCTGCTGGAGAAACTCCATCTGAACTGCTGTCGGTGGCCAAAGAGGTTAGAATTACGTTGCACATTAAAAGTTTGGTTCACTCAAATTAAAAACAAAAATAAATATAATATTAAAACTATTGACCGTATGTTCTTTGGATTAAACACAGGGATTCTGTTTCTGGTGAAAGATATAGCTATATTCTTTTTTAGATTTCCCATTAACACAGAGATGGGTATCTTAATACCAACCCAAAAACAATTTGCATGACAAGATACCACTAGGGGTTAGTGAGAAACATGTTGGTTTGTAATTTGGATGAATCAATCTTTTTATTCTAATCACAATTAACACATAAACCAAAATGTCAAATACAGAAGCTTGCAATCTTGTTTTCCATAATCTTATTAATTACCAGTTTACTAAACTACTTCTGCAGAGTAGCAGCAGTAAACTGATGGAGGACTCCCATGACCCTGAAAAGCTCTCAGATGATCTGAGGGAGATGATGAAAATACTGATTGTGCTCCTCAACAGCAGGAAGGAAGAAGGGAAGCCCGGCTACTGGACCAGAGTCGCTAAAAGAATCAACAAAGTTTTCTTCATTCTGTATGTCACAGGGGCCAGTCTGTTTTTAGCTTGTATCTTTATAACATGGATCTATGCTGTAGACCAGTAGTGCTGTTGGCCTGATTCTAATATTAGTCGGGAACAAAAACCTGGCTTAATCCAAACTGTTTCTGCCTGGCTTAATAGACCACACTGGACATGAGTTTCAAAAAAACATGTTACAATGGATACATTTAATCTGGAATTGATTATTGAATTACATGTTTTACTTGCAATTCAGTAATCAAGCCTGTGACATGGAAATTGATCTCATCGTGCTGACGTGCTGCGGTAAGCGTATAGACTTCTGTTTCTGGTGCTTGTGTTTGGTAGCATGTTTTACTGCTCTTACTGAATACCAGTTAAATGAGTTAGATTTGTCATTACAGTGGCTACTTATCCGCTGTACACTTAATGTTACAATAGTTCTGCTTAAGCACTCACAGTTTTTTTAAACATCTTTTGACAACTGGCCTAGTTGTTAACAAGAGTTAAATAATCACTAGCGGTGGCTTCTCGCTCTCCCTCTCCTGCTCTCTCTTGCTCAGTGTGTAAAACAGGAATGTAATGGGACTGAAGTTCAGCACGGGACTTTGAGACGGAGAGGCCTTTGGGGGCCCGCATAAATATTTTAGTTTTTGTTGCATACAGTCAATCATATTATGCTGAAGACCCTCAAGAAACTTCAGGATGACAACTGCTTCCTCACTTTGTATAACAAGGCTGCTCTGCACTGAACAAGACCAGGTCAGGCAAACCTGAGTCAGTCAGAGTGCTAAAATACTTCAATATACTCGAAAACTACAATGCAGTCCCATTAAGATGAGCAGTGTGTATGTGTGTGCATAGCCTATTTATCAAATCCCTTATCTTCAGCTCTGAGTATACCTATCCCTGGCTCAGCTTTACCTTTGCTGGACCCTCTGCTTATATTGATTGTACAGCTACATATGCACGAGAAGAAATCAGTAATAAATATGACGAACAATAATCCATTTTCTAATTCTATCTATGCATAATATGATGCCTACCCAGCTCTACACACTGCCCCTGTACCTGCTCCTGCTTCTCTTCTTTCTCTCCCTCCTCATCAACATCACCCTGTCCTTCTCTATCACCTCCACTGACCTTAACAGCTAATATACATACAAACAGAAATGTCTTGTTTATAGAAGGATGCTGTCTTTGTGTGATAACACATTGCGACATGTTGTTTATAATATAGACTATATAAATATACAGCCTAATGTATATGCCTATACATGAATAATTACAGTATATAATAAATGCATTAGCCTCCTAATCGTGCACTTTTCTCTAATTCTTATTTTTTCAGCAGCACACATTTCTTTTCCCTCTTTGTCTCTTTTCGCCACATTTACCATCTCTGTTGCGCTTATCACCCAACCCAGTGCTGAGTTCAGCCCCGACAATCATTTGGAGATTTAACTCGACCGAGATGGAAAATAAACTCCTTTGATCTGCGCCGTTGAACCAATCAGATTTCAGCAAAAACGAGGATCAATCCAAGTTGGGAGGGGTGTATCCCCCTCCATATTGGAAGTATTGGTTTGGCCCAGTCTGATAGACTCATTAAGTAAAACATTAGAAACCGAAATATAAAAACTCCTGGCACCCGGCCAGTTCGGCCTAAAACGGACCAGCCGTTCGGGAACACTCCCAAAGGCCTCAATGGCCAGTCTGCCCCACGTGTCAAATATTCAGTTACTCCTCTGCCTCCTTTAGTGATGGTATGTGTAACAAGTGTAGTTTATTTGTAACCATGTAGGCGAGGCTCAGTGATTTATAAATCTGGCTCTGCACCATGACAGATCAGTCGTTAGCTACTGTAGTTAACTAGTCCACGGTGCGGACCATCCTGAGTTAGCTTCTGTTAGCCATTCCTCGGCATATCCCGAGCAACTGGGAAGCCAGGGTGGTTGGGTTACTGTCCGAAAGAGAAAGAGCCGTAGGCCGTGCAAAAGCCCATGGTCCACCACCAACCTGTTCACATTTCAACACACCCACTGAGAAACCAACTGTGATCATCGGGCAGCTCCATTCTGAGAAACGTGAAGTTTGCGAAACCAGTGGCCAAAGTTAAGACTATCCCTGGAGGCAGAGTGGGCAACATCGAATCTTATTCGAAACTGCTGGCTAAAGATAAACGTAAATACCGTTCCCAGACCTGATTACGGCAATCAGAGGTCACTAAGGTTAAAATGTCAGAATCTGTAATTTTCTCTGGACCCCTGCCAAATCTGACCAGTGATGACGTGTAGCCGCATGTGCTGGGACCTCATTTATAAACTGTGTGTATGTACAAAACAGGGCTGGACACGTGCGTATGCAACTTCCCAAGCAAAGGTTGTTATCTATAAAAAACAAACTTGATGGTAGAATGTGTGGGTCCTCCACACAAACTCTGAGGCATGTGTACGCACATAAACCGGAGAAATGAGAAATGGAGACTCACACGGCAGAAGGATGAAACAGTTTGAAATGAACAGGCCTACTATTAAACATTTTATGTAAAATAAATTAAAAGATATCCAACATTTTATTCACCGTTGTAGTGCCGTTTAACACCAGTGTTGGCAGTCAGAGTTTGTCAACCCTGAGTTTTCTTGATAACCCTGACTAACCCTGTTAACTCTGAGTAGGTTGAACTCTCTTCACAGTACAGGCCACTGCTCTTTATGAAAAGCGCTATGAGATAACTATTGTACTCATGGTACTCAGGCTTTGAGAAATTTCTACACTACAAATGTGTTATTAGTTGTTTATATATACACTATGTAGTCCTTTGGTAGTGTTGTTTGCATGTTCGACAGACAGCTATGTCTATGTCTATGTTTAACACATACAGTATATTCTGTGTTAGCCTACGTCACCAGTCTGATTGTATTATAAAGTTCTACTAAAATACTTTGATATGTATTATGCACCATGTTCAGTGGGTTCGTTAAAAACGTAAAATATATTAAAAAATGAAAGTCTAGTTTCTTTTAAGATTCTTATGTTTGCTCATCCATTACTATTACTATACTATTACATACTAGTGTTCATTTTCTAAAGATGTTTATTGGGATATTCCACATCTGCATTTACACTATGTATTCACATGAGGGAAAGTTTCATCTGGTTCTGAAAACATGTATCAAACTTTGTGCTTCTGAAATAAACAGTCACGACAAACTTTGTTATTATCTGTTCTGGTTCATAGCGGTCAACATCTAATTAGGATTGTGAGTTTCTTCCTCTCTTCAATCTCAGGAAGCAAGATTTTGTTGTTGCAGCCCAGAAACAAATCCTGACCAACAGGCATGGGATGTGCACAGCCCAGTGTACTCATTAATGTTCTGTACTAGGAAAAACTCCTAAAAGTTGCATACATACAAAACACAGGAAGTGCGTGCACACAAAAATATTACGATTTATAAAAGTCTGCACAAGCACGTCCTACACCGATTTCCCTTTATAAATGACAATCAACTTGAAATGTGGCCCATGTGAGCAAGTTCCTTGTCTGACTTTAAACGCCCATAGTTATTGGTCATTGAAACACCCCTCAATATTAATAGGTACTGACTGCATGAAGATAAGGATTGGAAATTCTGACAGAAAAGCTAAAAAAAATAATTTAACCAAGTAAGACACTGATGTTCGGTCTTGGTGAGGTTGAAGCAAGGAAAGTTGTCATTTGCTGGGTCAAAAGTGCACATACACACAACGCTTGTGCATCGGAGGAAAGAGGGCTAGAAAAATCCAGTGCTGATTTGAATGGATTTCTACACACTAACTCATTGTTCATAAAGTGTGTTAAGACTGGGGGCCAATCTGCTGGGTCTACTGTACCTTTAGGGTCTGAGCTGCTAGTGTCTGATGCTGGCTGTACATCTCTGACTGTGCTCGTACTGGCTGAGGTTGCCCGTTTTTCACCTGTGTCTGTGTGACTTGCTAAAGACATCTGGACTGGTTCTGTGCTGGTACTGGCTGAGGCTGGATGTGGATCAACAGAGCTTGTACTCAGGGATGTGCACAGACATTTTGGTGGGCAGGGGCTCAAGTGAAAAAGGGCACTTCTCATAAGAGAAAGAATTATCTGCTAAATGAATAGTTTTGAAGCCCCCTAGGAGGTATCATTTATTGTGAGAAGCTTTGTAAGTATTGCACAGGTATTGTGAGGCTTTTACTGTATAGTGAGGCAAAATCAGCTGATAGAAAGCACGTATTAATCAGGTGGTGCATAAGATCAGCTTTCTTTTTGCTTCACTGTATAAGGTTCACAATACCTGAGAAGACCTCAGAGTTTGAAACATTTCAATAAATGATACTGCCTAGTGGTATTCATAATACTCAGTGTGCAGTTCATTCTTATTTTTTCACTCTAAGCCCTTTTATTCAGCACATTGGCCACAAGTTTGTTGGATGTACAAATGTTCTTGTTTGTTTGAACTAAACTTACCGTGCATCAGAGCAGCAAACAAGGCATTCTTCAAAACCTTTTCACGCTCAAGTGTAGAAATTGAAAATACTCCAGCACACAAAAATACACTGCATAATTATTTGTTAACATTTCGGTCTGTGGGAGTATTTTAACTTTTCTACTTCTAATAGAGCTCAGCAAATTATTTAAGCTTTAATGTTTGATGTTTCATGATTAGTCAAAATGTGAAATCTAACATTTCCAGTCAGTATTAAAGACAAAAGGGGTGCAAATATTAAATTCAATTCAAGTTCAATTTTATTTATATATCACCAAATCATAACAACAGTTATCTCTGAGCCCTTTTCATAAAAGAGCAGGTCTAGACCGTACTCTGTGATGCTATTTACAGAAACCCAACAGTTCCCACCAAGAGCAAGCACTAGGCGACAGAGGCAAGGAAAAACTTCCTTTTAAGAGGCAGAAACCTCGAGCAGAACCATGACTCAGGGTGGCCGGCCATCTGCCTCGACCGGTTGGGGGTGAAGGAGAGAGAGAGGGAGAGAAAGAGGGAGGGGGATGGAAGGAGAGAGAGAGGAGGGAGGCAGCCTACACAATATACACACAGAGGTACAGACAGTAAAGGTGATGTTGCTATAACCTGAATGAAAAATGGTACAGATATTTATAGTAGTGTTAATGATAATAATCATAATGTTAATGATTATAATAACAATAATAACAATAGGACTAGTAACAATAGTCGTTGCAGTAGAGGGTGTCCAGCAGGAACACGGGGGCAGCAGGTGACTCGCAGCCACAGATCCAGACTCTACAGCTCCAGAGCCAGAAAACCTGCAGGAAGTGATAGGAGGAGAGAGGAGAGGGACGAGAAAGCACAAGACTACCGGAAAGGGAAGAAGTTGAGTTAGTAACATGCGTTAATGGGATGAGGTTGCATACAGAGGGAGAGAAAGAAGGAGAGGAGCTTAGTGCATCATGGGAAATCCCCCAGCAGTCTAGGCCTAAATACCATATAAATAAAATGTATTGCAATTTCAACCATGTGTTTACCAATGTGGACATGTAGCAACACATTTATTAAAATAAAAAATATACTGGGCCTGTGCAGGTGCTAACAGCTACTATATGTCCAGCACAGGCTAAGTACTCTGGCTTAGGAGGCCATGGGGTGGTGACGGTCAGGGCTACGTTTAGGCACGAGAAAATGGGTCCTAAAGGCCAATTTCAAAAGCAGTGACACTGCCAACTGTAAGCAGTTCACTGCATTTGGAGGTGGCCTTTAAGGCAATTAGCTACTGTACTTAAAAACATAATTTTCCCTCGTTGTGAAGTTAACTCTTACAAATATAGCCCAGGACTGCCGTGTCTAATGCGAGGGTATGGCATCATTTAACACAAACGATAACATGATGTTCATGCCAAGGAGCTGGAGGTAAACACAAATGGAGATATCGGTTTCTGCAAAAGAACGCCTCAAATATGTTGTACAGTTTAATCAGGAATCATATTAATTAATACTTGCATGCAGTGCAATTTACTCTCATAAATAAGGTGAACAGGAGGACAAATTACATTTAAATTAATGCTGTTTTCAGTGTGTCAGCCGAGCAAACAGGAGTGCATAGTTTTATGAAGCCTATGTTATCACATGTTCGTTGCCTTATCGAGCCAAACGCTGTCGTGTGGATATGAAGCGCTGCTTGTAAAACATGTTATGGAAAAATAACACAATTTTATTGTCATTTACAATAAGTCATATTTCTTTTAACTCATTGTGAGTTGTAAGTGAGTGGATTGTTTGTATAGCCTAAATATATGTTTAAACACAAGAAGAATGCAATTGGTTTACTCTCTTTTTAAACTGGGGAATCCAACTTGGGTCATCCAGTCTTGCGTGTGTGTGTGTCCCTCCAGCCAGCAACACCACTAATCAATAGGGATGCTCGTTGCTGCAGATCGGTACGTATTAATGATTTATAAAGGGAACGTGCTTGCAAGTGTGAGTACGCACGGTTTATCTGAATTTATTTTGTGGTTTTTGGGTGCACGCACACTTTTAGTGAGGTTTCTATGCACAGTTTTATAAATGGGACCCCTGTTCTTTTGCTGCACCGAATACTTCATTGCACTCTGGGGACAATTTTCCATGGTGCCCCCTTGTGTAGTAATGCGTGCAAGGGACTTAGTGTTGTTGCCAGCTGAAGTCAAAGCTGGCTGACATTCATTTGGGGAGGGGCCTCTGCAATAGCCCTGAGTTTTTCTAGGTATTTGTGGAGACCTGTGGTGTCGATTTGTCCCAAATATTCCAGTGAACTTTTGAAGAACTCACATTTTTCCTGCTGCACCAGGTGGCCAAACTTCTTCAAGCGGCTCAGCACTGCTTCCACATTTTTCAGTTGAAATGCGTCGTCCAGTTACAAGGATGTCATCCAGAAAACAGTGCACATTGGGGAGCCCCTGAAGAACTTGGTCTATGACTCACTGGAAGATGGAGGGCGCTGACCTTGTGCATGGTACTGGTGAGATGTTTGCAGAAGCTCTCCAGGACTGGTAAGCCTGCGAGAAAGCCCTGCTAGGCTTAGCACAAGTTTGCGCCTTATTTACCTGTCTCTTTGGATATTCATTCCATCTATTCTCTTTTTTATCCACCTGGTGTCTTCAGTTTTGTTTCCCTGCTTGCTCTCTTTGCAGGTGCGCAAAATGTGGCCTCTCTTATTACAGCAGTGGCAGCTCTGATTCAACGATCACTTTCAGTGTGATTAGTTCTACCACACCAGGTGCACCCTCCCCCAGTGTTTATGAGAGGGATGTGGCATTCGCCTTCAGGGAGCTGCTCAATTGCTGGGACTCCCTTGCCACTGTCTCTATAGAGATTGGTAGGCAAGGGCAGCATCTGTTAACAAACAACAATTTAAAATAAATTTGTCATCCTGTTCACCTTATTTATGAGAATAAATTGCACTGCATTATTTTGCTAAAAAAGATATCTCCTTTGTGTTCATTATCCTTAATCATGGTTCTTTTTGTGTGCACTTTAAGTGATCTCATGTGATGGAAAATCAATGAAATGGGTTTGTTTAGTCGGAAAGGCTTTCCATGTCAATCTGAACCAGCTTTTTAGACAAAGATAACTGTAAAAATGAATTTAGTGGTTGAGTATATGCTACTCTACATGCCCGCCAACATCCGTCTGTGACCACAAGCACTAGATAACATTGCAATTATTTGTGAGATGGTGTGCAAAATGGACTGATACTGAAAGACTGATAAAAATTCATAAACTTAATATAGTAAATTCAGAAGCACTAAAGAAATGTACAAATGGGCTCTAAAGTTGTAATTTAAAGCATGCCATCTGTGGGAACTATAGAGATCTGCGGGAACTATAAGAATGTTAAGGAAGCTCTACAGGAAAAGGCTGGCGTTATTCTATCATTTTCTGATTGTCAACAAATGCCGAAAATAATGTGTCTTTCTAAACTTTCCAATTTCCCTAATCTGTGTGGCACTCAGCCAATTTACTTTTTTCACTCAAGTGAAGATATAAATCCTGAGAAATAAAAAATAAAACAACGTAACTGCATTGAGCCCCTCCTCCTCTATCCCATTAATGCATGTTACTAACCTGACTGCTGCTCTTCCCGCAAGTTATGTGCTTTCTTGTCTCTCTCCTCTCTCTTTCTGTAGCTTTCAGTGGGTATTTCTGCCTCGAGCTGCAGAGTCTGGCTCAATGACTGCAAGCCTTGTACTGCCTCCAGACTGAGTGCAATTTGCCAACCTTAAAGCAAGTCCAGTTGGCCTTGATTTAAACTTTTCTTAGATACAAGTGACATGCAGAATCTTGATGTATCATACATTCTCACTCTGGTTGTCTAAATTCCTGCAGGAAACTGTAAATTATTTTACTATTTATGTAATCAAGTTGTTTTCTTCTGCGGAAATGCAGTGTGATTAATGTGGTTTGCTTAATGCCATGATGTATTTATTTGATGGAATTCTGTGATCTGTTGTATGTAGAGTACTGGCTTTGACAGCATGTATCAGACTCTTCATATTGCACAAATAAACAACAAAATAATCTCTATTTTTCTCCTTATACAAACACTAGCACACACATTCTTGTATTTTTCTCATTGTTTTTTTTGGTCATTTGTAAGGACCACCTATTTTCATATGGACACGCAATTGAATTTCACTGTACCAATTACTGGCATACCAGAAATTGGTTCAAGATGAAAAGAAAGTGTTCCATTTTTTATTTCTGTATGTTCATTACGTGTGGAATCCCATAGCACCACAAGGAAGCTTTTGCTCAAGTTGTAACATTATCAACAGATATGTGCTACAGCAGTGCCATCCACCCACATCTTTCCAATGACTTCATTCAAAAGGGAAATTCTTGAGTCACAGTTGCACACATTGCACATCAAAGCATAAAGGAATAGAAATAATAATAGAAAGTTGATAAGTAAATAAATATACACATTTAAAAAGTATTAATATAAAATACAAAGAAAATATAAAGGAGTGTGGATATGTAAAATATTTACATTATTAACAGAATTATAATTATGAACAGTAGAAGTGAATAAACAATAGTTGTAATAATGAGTACTGGTAGGGTTGATGTGGAATGGATTACATATCCCTAAAAATCCTTAAAAACTCCAGTAACCAGAGTGCTGAAGCACAGAATGCGTCTCATGTGTACATCATGTTGTTCCTAGATTGATAATCAAAATAATTATCATTATACAAATATTTTTCAGTCCATCAAGCCATATAGTGTAACAGTTATACCAATGTAATTCTAAAATAATAATAATAAAACTATTAATAGCAACAACAGCAATAACAATAATAAATCCATCCAGCTGCAAATACCTATAAGGTAAGACTTACAACATAAAAGATATTTGGAAGCCAATGCAGTAAGACTGGACCTAAGTATTGTAGTTATTCACTGGGTAGGTTTTTGATTTGGTGATTTGGATATTCGCACCCACACTTCTGTTTCATACACACACCCCCACCCACACACACACCCCCACCCGCACTTCTGTTTCTTACACACACACACACACACACACACACACACACACACCCACCAGCACTTCTGACACACATACACACACACACACACACACTTACACTTGTCATTGTCATCCAACTGCACATTCACAATGTACTTTTGAGCGAGATTTCATTGCAAGGCTCCGAATAAAAACAGAAGACAAGTAAAAGAAAAACAGTATATATATATAATTATATGCAATATAAAATAGAATAAATATAAGCATATAAAAGAAACAGAAACCAGATAAAAATATTGTGACATTTGTAAGGAATGTATCAGCAAACAGAAAAATGATATGTAAGACAATATTCATAGTGCAAATATCTGTAGCAGCAGGATGTATTGTAACAGTGAAACAGACAGTATGATGCAGATAGTCCAGTTACTCATTGCAATAGAGATCACAGTGTCCATGTAAAGTGACTAGTGTCGTATGTATGGGAGGGATTCTCTCCACTGTCCTCACCATTCTCTCCACACATTTACAGACTGAGGCATTGCAGGCCCCAAACCCGACAGAGACAGCTGGTCAGTATGCTCTCTATTGTCCCTCTGTAGAAAGTGGTGAGGATGGGAAGGGGGAGGTTTGGTCTTCTCATCAAATGCAGAAAGTGCAGACGCTGCTGTGCTCTCAAGAACAGAGGTGGGGAGGGACCGGGTCAAAGTGTCTGTGATCTGCACCCCCAGGAATTTGATGCTGCTGACCCCGTTGATGATGAGGGGGGATTGACTTGGGTGATTTTTCCTGTAGTTGACGACAGTCTCTTTTGTTTTGTTGACATTCAGAATCAGATTGTTTGTGTCACAACTTTCCACCAGGTGTTTCACCTCCTCTCTGCAGGACAATTCGTTGTTGTCCCTGACGAGACCCACCACTGTCGTGTCGTCAGCATACTTAATGCACTTAATTTTACTTAATGATGTGGTTCGTACTGAACCTGGTACGACAGTCATGACGAACTTAACTCGGTGAAGAGCAGTGGGCTCAGTATGCAGCCCCAGGGGCAGCCGGTGCTGAGGGAGATGACGCTGGAGGGGTTTTTGCCAAGCCACACAGACTGGGGTCTGTCTGTGATGAAATCCAGCAGCCAGTTACAAAGGGGGGTGTTGAGTCCTAGGGGGGCCAGTTTGCTCACCAGGTGCTGGGGGAGATTGTGTTGAATGCTGAGCTGAAATAGCATTCACACGTGGGTATTGTTCCAGGTGTTGCAGGCTCAGGTGGAGTGTGGAGAGGACAATGTCCTCTGTGGAACAGTTGGAGCGGTAAGCAAACTGGAGCGGATCAAAAGAAGGGGGGAGTTTGGAGATGATGTGGTTCTTCACCAGCCTCTCGAAGCAATTCATCATGATGAGAGTGAGTGCGACAGGGCGGTAATCATTGAGTGGTGAAATTGTGGGGTTTTTTTGGAATGGTATGATGTTGGCTGTCTTGAAACAGGATGGCACGACAGCATGGGTCAGCGAGGTGTTAAATATGTCTGTGAGGGTGTGAGCCAGCTCATTGGTCATCCAGGGTTTCTGATTTGCCCATGTGGTGACAGTCTTGGTCCCAGAGACATCCTCCATGCACTTCTGGATGTATGCAGACACAGATTTAGCATACTCCGCTACATTGGTGTGTTGGTTTTCAGTTGCAGCTTCCCTGAACATTCCTTGAAAGCTGCCTTAATGTTTGTGTAAGCTCTGTCTAGTGTGTTTGAGCCTCTGGTTGCAAAGTTCACACGTCTTCATGTTGGCCTGATTAAAGTCCCCAACAACAATGAAAACACCCTCTGGATGTGTAGTTTGCAAGTCACTGATTGAGCGGTAGAGCACACTCAGAGCCTCCTTGGTGTTAGCATTGGGGGGATGTAAACAGCAGAGATGATGATGGTGGTAACTTCCCTGGGCAGATAGAAGGGTCTACATTTTATGGTCAAAAACATGATGTCCGGAGAGCAATGACTTGAGACCACTTTGGCATTAATTCTGTTTCTCTCTCACTGTATGTTTTATAGCCAAAAAAACACTACCCGCATTTTGTACGTCTTTAGCCCCAATTCCATGTTAACAACTTCTCTCTCTGTCTGTCTGGGATCAATCATCGATGGCATTGGTCTGTTGGACAAGTAAAAAATAAAAGTGGGCATTCTCTGTTTTGTGTTATGCGTTCAGTGCAGCCTAAGAACATCCATTTAAAATAGGCTTGTAATAACTTTTAAAGTGATCATGTACAGGGAAACAATGCAAAAACAATGACACCACTGTGCAAATGTGAAATCACCACTGAAAGTAGAGGTCATCCTAGTCATCACAAATTCAGAATAACTGTATTGCAGAGATGTCCTAATCTGTAATGACCACACTTTATGTGATCAACATTGTGGCTATGGCAAAATTAATCTTACACTCACCTGGAGGTAATAAATTCTTAGGATCTCTGCAGTGTATGAAGGTATTTTTGTCTCTTCTTAATGCAAGCAAAAAAAAAATGTTTTGACAGCATATTTAAAAATTAAGTTTGTCGTTTGTCACAAAAGTTTTAATTGCTAATTTGTTCTTATTGATTGCAAGTTAATAAGTTTTGCAAGTAAAATAGTTTTGCGAGTCAAAAAGTTTTCCTTGCAAAAATTTCCTTGGACAATATTTAAAACTCAAAGTAAACAGGAGGAGAGAAGGCCTTTCCACATCAGTCCACGCTAACAGCACAGTGAGGAGGCTTCCCAGGTCTCTGCAGCTCTCTGGCACCAGGTGGGACATTTGATCCACAGTGTGACTCTGGGAGGAAAATGTGTAATAAATGCTTCAGGTGATGAAAAATATATATATAGTAAACAATACAGATGAGTCTTTAATAAATAGAATATTGTGGTGAAGTTAATTTTCTAACATAATTCTTTTCAAAAAGTAAATCTCTCATATATTCTAGATTCATTACACAAGTGAAGCATTTCAAACCCTTTTTTTGTTTTCACCTTTCTGCCTCTCTAATCAGCTAATTAATGTAACGGGTCTGTAATCTCTCAGTCTGCTTCTGATGCTCACAATGAACTTTGCCACGGTATTCAAATCTTTTGAGATGCTCTTCTAAAAGATGCCTCAGTATTTAAATGTTGACAGCACTATTATGTCACATGGGAGAAATGGAACAAGGGAGACAGTCTTTAAATGTTTTTGTGTTGTACTCTTAAGACAGACAATTTTATATCAGCTGTCAAATGTCATGTAGCCAAGTTGTTCTAGTAACGTTACTTACAGTTAAAGCAGGCGCGGAGGCATCAGATCCTCAACAAGAATCTTGTGACCAATATAAAAAGTACCTTTCTCTCTCAAGTGTCCTATTCCAGACAATAATCCCACAAAATCTTGCCGACAGCAGCAGCCTTACTCAATATAGCGGTGTGGGGAATTAATTAACGTGATAACAGCCATGGCTAACGTTTTACAAGTTATACAGCTTCCATCATGTAACTAAGGACTCTACCACTAGCTTATTGGGTTTATTACAAGTAACATTCTGAGGTGACGTCCAAATAAACGACTCGTAACCACTGTTACGTAAAAGGGTTAATTTATTTGCTTCAAATTGTTCGTTTGAGCTGTAAGTAAACGTTAACGTAATTAATAACTGATTCATAGTTAACTGTTAACATTGGTCTCAACAAAATCTAATGTTAA